ATTTATATATTAATAAAATTTTCAGTTCCCTTCCTGAAAATATCTCAATCCTGAACTATGGTCATTTTTCGTTGCAAGTCTGACCCAGATTTGTGTAGCCACTATTTGCAATCTGCCCTTGACATTATTTTTTCCCGTCTGAAATCACTTCAACTCACACTTTCAAATGTTTGCTCTTTTCAAAAAGTAAAAAGAGGCCCCATGGTTACTCTTTTGCTCATCTACGGTTCTTCTATTCCGTTTGTTAAAACTTTCGATTTTCAGGCTTTGTCCTACACTCGAAGATTTCCCCAGTAGCTTATATTAACGAAAATGCCGAACAATGTTTTCAACTTATTAATGTATTAAAATCCATTTGTCGTATTTCTTGGGGCTCTGACCCGTCTTCCATGATTAAACCGCATCTTGTCTTAATCAAACCAAAATTAGAGTACGCCTTTTTACTCTTATTGAACATCCCAAAAAAGGAACTTCTGAAATTATGCAGAATCCAATGGAAATGCCTTCGTCTGGTTCTTGGTGGCATAAATTCTATACACACACAAACCTTGGAAAACATGGCAAATGTTATGCGTCTACAAGAATGATTTCCTTTAATCGCCAATTCTATCTTTTGAGAATTATCCGGCCTTACTTTTCATATACAACTTAAAGTCTCTCAATTCCTCTCCTTCCTTCTTTGAAGTTTTTGTTGGCAAAACTAATAACTTCAACATTCTAAAAACTGGTGTGCATAACTTATCTAAATTTCCTCTTGGTTCTCAATATTTTCGACCTGTAATTAAATTCTTACCAGTAAAAAAATTCACAGTTACCTCGACAGAGGTTTACCATCGTTACTCGAACTTAGTCAATACTACATGGAAACATTTTTCACTCATCTTTACTGATGGATCTAAGACCAAACTTTGTAGGCAACAGCGTTTACTTCCCAGATATTAACATAGAAGCCTACCCATATAGCACTATATTTTCGACTGAATATCTTACGATCCTAGAAGTCATCCGCTTAGCGAGTACTCAACTACAAAAGAAATTCCTTATATTGTCAAACAGTAAATTTGTCTTATCCTCTTTACAATGATTTCCCTCAGGTAAAAAAGCTCACCCCTATAAATTAGAAATCATATCTTTACTTTATAACCTCAAATAAGAAAAATGTTGTTTTCACTTTCTCTGTCATATGACCATTCTTGACAACAACACTACATATAAAATTGCATCTTTCAGACCATCTCATTTCAATGATCGTGCTGTGATGCCTGCAGTTCTAAGGACAGTCGACAAAAAGCTTTCAGTTCTTTCTTGACAACCGCGATGGAATAATTCACCTTATGGTCGTCATTTGCACTCTTCATTTCCGTAAATAGGCCTCTTGCTTTATCAATTGCGGATTCAGAAGTGACCCTATTTGTCTTATGAACAGGCTGATATTCAACCATAGGAGATGTAATGATCATCTATTCCAAATTAACGTAATAACCAACCTTTCATGCACAATCTCCTGCTCATATCCGACTTGTCTGTGCGAATGTTACCACTTCTATTCGCCATGCCACGCTTCACAAACTGAGTATATGTGGTCTTTGGGGCCACAGCATTCTTGCCATTTTGCGTTCTCGCAATTAAACGACTTACGTCCTAATCTTTTCTTTTTTTAAATCATGTTATCGCGCCATATAAGCGTTTATAATCAATTTATGAATATACCCTCTTCTACACATTTTTTGCTCTTACACCGACCAATTCCTTCATATAACTTTTTATACTTCTCACACGTACGTACGGACGAGTAATATGCATAAGTTAGTAAAACCTATAAAGAAAAAGAATAAAAAATAGCGTGGTGAACGTTTAACACCCAACATTAAAAAAAAAACTTTAATCAAATAATCACTAAAATGAGTAAATAATAACGCCAAAGACCAGGTCTAACCCCAACTTTACTGAATAACGAAAGAGGAAGAAGAAGTAACAAGCAGCAATTTGTAGTTGGATAAAGATTTAAATTACAAAAATGAAACTACGTTTTGCGGAAAACTTACCTGCGAAGGGTAAGGGACACAAACTGGTATCCACCAAAGCAGCAGTAGGTACAAATAAATTGCCAGATCGAAAAATTGTGTACGAAGCACGATTTGTTTCGTCTTTCCTTAGACTTCATCTGTTCTGCATTAAGAATGTGGGCAAGATTGTTGGCAATATTTTGTGCCGTCTTTCTTCTTAGAAAGTGTAATTGTTTTTTTGAAAATAAATCTTCAGAGAACAAGTGTCACAATAAAAAGTCCCTATTAGATGTAATATTAACACTTAGGGACTGGCTCAGTGAGGAGTTATTCCTATTTTTGGGTTGGGACTTCAACTTTGCTGATTTTTGACAAAACTTACTGGGAATTGACAAGTTATCTGATTTGATTTTTCATGCGTACATACAAAGCAAAATAGAAAACAACGCATAAGAAGAAGTAAAGGCACTTTATTTGAAATCTAGAATGCTTTATCTAATTTATTTTTATCTTGCACTAATGTACATGTTTTTTTATATTATGTGATTTGCAATTTGGGGTTTTACTATCCATTATTTCGTAGGAAATAAAAAAAAAACAAGCAATAAAGACCATTTATTTTAAAATTGCTGTATACTCACCAAATTTGTTGTTAGAGGGAGATGCCTTCCAAATTATGGATCAACTAATAGAGGAAAATATATACAATGTATGGATCTATATACCTCTAATCAATCTTCTTTATCACTAATCAACGAACAAAGTTGTTTACTTTTATATTTATTTTTAATTTTTCTCGAATATGTTGTTTATGTTTACATTGATTTCTTTATTTTTGATTCTAAAATCGTTTGTTGTTATTTTCATATTCCTGAAAAACATTGCGGTAACCCAGCTGCCCGTCGTGTTTATTATTTGGGAGTTTTCAACCTGAAAATGAAAATAACGCATTATTGCTCAGCCCTGTTATGGATTTAAGGAAAATTGTTTATTTTGAGAAGTTTGGCTTACGAAGTCCATAGGGCTTTCTCTTATTCTAACTTAAGAAGAAGAATTAATTATTAAGCTTTACTTAAACCATTACTGTTCTTAGTTTAAAGGTTCTACTTTACTTTAGCTAATTATAGGAGAAATACTCAGAAGAAACATGCATAATAAATGTATATGAAAGCATAGTAAAATTTATTTTTATTGTCATTTTTAATAGAAGTACATTATATTACATAACAGAAACACATAATCAGAACATTTTATCAGTCGCCGCCATAAAACAAAGATGCACTATTTGATTGATAATTACCGACTAACAAGGCAAGGTATGAAGGCATTCTAAAGAAAATCTGTTTTGATCGAAATTTGTGAAGGTGGAAAAAAATAGTTACGAGGATTACTTTTCAGTTCTATGGCACAGAAATTTTAAAAGTTAGCTCACACAACATTTTTATACACTGTTCAAAATCCATTCTGTGCATTATACGTAAGCTTGTTGCAGTAAAAAATAATTATTTTAGAGCTTTATACAACTTTAGTACCTCTATGCACTCCATACTAAAGATTGTGAAAAGCGAAGTGTTTTTAATATTTTTCTGTAAAATTGTAAATGCAAATTGTACTTCTCGAAAAGAAAGAAAGTGGAATGTGAATTAATTATCAGAAAGAAACCTAAATATATACTGCCGTACAAAACATTGTCACGAACACTTTAAACCCCACAATTAAAACATCTTCTGTCGTTTCCGATAATCGTCTGATAATATTAGCGAAAACCCTTAAAGTCATTTAGCGCATTTTCCAGTGCAACTAGGAATGTTGCGTCATTCCGAATTATTTGTCGATGATTATTAAGCTCCAATCTATGAGGAAGAATGACTCGAAAAGTTCCTGTACTCACAAAATTTAATTTGGCGAAGACGGTTAAAAATGTAGAAATATACCTTGCTGCGACGAAACAAATGATACGCGAAAAATATTCTTCGGTCAATTCCACATTAGATTTACCAAAAAAAAACGTGAAGAATGGTGGAGGAATTCTTATGTTATGGCAAATTTCTCTTCTTGAGATGGTATTAGTCCGATAAGGATCACAGAGAACACTATGAAGAAATTTTATATAAAAACTTTTTAGAAAATATAATGGGGCAGCATGACGAAAAAATATGCCACTGCTATGCATATTGCAGGAGAACAATGATTCGAAATATTCATCCAATTTGGTGAAAGTGTGGTTCCGAGAGTATAATTTAGATGTCATTGAATGACCAAGTCAGTCTCCCGGACTCAATCCTGTGTAAAACTTTTAAGTAGAATTAAAGCGTCAAGTCTTCTTCCTTGTAGCAATAAAAAAAAAAAATTATGGGATCCTACGTAAAAAGTATGGTTTGATATCCCAGTAGAAGCTTCCATAAAAAAATCTAAACTGTCCTTAAAAACAATAGTGACAATACCGAATGTTGAATGTGTAAAATATAATAGGACGAAAATGCAAAGGAGTACTCTCCACCAACATAAAACAACATACACCTATTTTTCCGTCCACCTACGTATGTTGTTCTTAAAGCGTCCGTCCAAATATTTCTGATACGTACTTAAAAGTCGCTCTTGAAACTCGAGATAAACGAATACAATTTACAGTTATTATTTTTCTACTACAGCTGGTTTTTTTTTATAAATGCAGCTCAGAGCTACCACACACCGAACGTGAGCTATTTAGTTTCGTCTGATTTGACATACACAAGAGAGTATATTAACAGCTGTTGAGCATATGTGTTGCAAGAAAAAGCGAAGGTCATCAAATAATAATGAACATTTGTTTTTCTTATATATGAGACAAAATCACCCGAAAAATGAAACCGTAAGCAATCTTTCAAATGCAGTTACCCTTAGGCTTTGAACTTTAGTTGAATAAATTGAAAGCATTGAATACGCTCGTATAGTAGTATCCAAACATATCAGGCATAAAATGATTATTAAAACAAAATTTAATCTTCTCAATAGATTTCGCCGATCTTAAGAAGCCATATGTGTTCTATGTAGAAGAAGAAGCTCGCACATATATGTTATGTTTACAATTACACTAATTTCCTTACTTTGAAATCTTAATCGATATGGTAAGGAAGACGAGCGCGGCTTTTCCTTACTGTATGTAGCCTATGAAAAGTCTATACAAACTCACAAAATTTCTTTTTGTCTTGGACCCCATTCGCAGTTGAGTTTATGAAAATAAATTTTCGTCGTAGAATTGAACGGAAAGACAACAAATTTCTAATGATATTAAAAAAAGGAAACATTTCTTAAGTTATGTATTATGGAAGACTCCACGGTTAAAGTAAAGTATCAAAAATATAAATTACGCGTTAAAGTATGGGAAAAAGAATTTAGAAAGAAACATGGTCGTATACCATCAAAGGTAATAAATAATAATTATTAAGGAATTGACATATGAATACATATTGTGAATATTTCCTTTTAGTATGATATAAAAGAAGCTCATCAAGAGATCAAAGATTCTTATAAAATGTATTATAAAATGAAAACCGCATTTCTGGAAAACACCCTTAATGACACACTCTCAGATGATGGGTTTGATGTCTTGAAACTGTCTCAAGTGGACGGCGGATTAGACATTACTCTAAGTGAAAATAGCGTCAATGCGCAAGGCTCTCAATTACCTCTTAATTTTAGTGAATTAGTGGACGATTGTAACAATTTTCCTGCGATAGAAGCAAAAGCCCAAAAAGAAGATGCGAACAAAAAAGTTTCAGACAATGTAAATAAATTAAATGGATTTAAGCGTGAGTTCGAACCTGTAGAAGAATTATCTTTAAATAATAAGGCCTGGGACAACGAAATAAAGAAAAAAATTGAATTGAAGGAAAAAACGGAAGTGGTAAAAAAGAAGAGCCTTGGTTTAAATTTTACGCAAAAGTTGTTTCAAAACTCCTCCTTTTCGAAACGCAATCCTAGGAAGTCATTAACGCGCACTATCTCATCACAAAAAAATATCAGTGACATTTCTGTAAATAATTCGCTGATTAATGCAGGAGACAGTTTGCCTGATTTAGAAACAATATTAGTAGAGAAAGCCAAGGAACAGCAAATGGCTGCCATAATAGTTAATCCATTACTGGCAATTGAAAAATGTGAAGATGCTATAAAAACTGAAATCGACGAAGGTTGGTTAGAAAGAACTTCGAACCAGAATGGCTTAAAATCCCTTTCAACGCCAAAAATTGAGGAAAATGTAACTCAAACCAAAGGAGAAGCCCGACCTTCTGAGTTAAACGATATACACGTCAACAATTTTTCCAAAAAATCTCAAGAAGAAGGACTTGCAGCACCATTAGATATAGAAAAGAGCAATAACTTAAACAAATTGGGTGAAAGAAAAAGAAAGCGAAGCTATGACTCGGATTATGATTCCATAGTAGGAGACAGTGAGGACGAGACTTCGCTTCAGAAACATAGGCACATTATTAAAAGGGGACGTGTCACGACTACCACAATTCCTCAAGCAATGGATGCAAAACTCTCATCACAACAAGGGACCTCAAAGTTCAAAAAATCTTCTGAAAAATTGGAATGTTCTCCAAACCACAAAGATTTCATGATCGATGTAAACAAAAATATGGACTTTAAAGGAGGGCAACCCAAAATTAAACGAAATGTAGCCGTGACGGGACGAAAACCAATAACTAATAAAATACGATTAAAGAAAGAGAAGGCTCAACTATCTTCAGAAACCTTCAAAGAAAATCGAAATAGACCCAAAATGCGACGACATACTCTTACAAAATTGAAAATGGAAAGCGAATGTCCAAATGAAACTATCGACGAAAAATTATTTGATCCTGAAGACCTTAAATATGCTTTAGTCTTAGAAGCAAAGGACATTGCCACTGTACCGCGTGCTAAATTAGATGATTTGCGTGTGGTTCATAAATTAGCTCATAAATATATAAGTAACATTGTGCCTATGAAAAACACACAAAGTGCTCCCATTCAGGATGAAAGTGGTATAAATGAAAAACAAGTGATTGCCCAAAGAAAGCTGGAGGAAAAAATAAGTGCGGGCAAATTAAATGAAAATTTTATCAAGATTAATATAGAGAAAAAGACATTTGTACGCGGCAAGAAATCAATCAATTATTCTCGTTATAAAAAGAAGCAATGGAGACATAAAAAACATGTAGCTGCTCTGGCAGGACAAGATATGGACATGGGAGGCTGTGATGGAGGTACACTTAAATGTTTCAAGTGTGCTAAAACTGGCCATTTTGCTGAAAACTGCAAAATAAAAGGAGATACGTTGTTGCCACTCAGCGCTCAATTGGAGGAGGATTCGTCGCCCTTTCCGACATTAAAAGAGGCCGAGCGAATGGCTAGCCAGTGCGCATTAGCAGTACATAGTAGGAATGTTTCGAAGTTGCCGAAAGCTGCAAATGCTAAAATTTATCAGGAAAACTCTTTCGAACAACGAATGGACGACAAAGAAGTGGCCGGCGATAGTCCCGACAACAATATTAACATCAACGAGCAAACTGTTAGTATTAAAACAAATTCTTTAATGGAGACGGATGATGAATTAGAAAATATTAATTTTGAAATGTGCATCGAAGGATACGAGAAGTCAATTCCGTCCATTAAGCAATATGTCGGCCAGAAAATACCTGAAGAATTCATAAAAGCTGCCGGACTAAACGGCAAAGATTTCATGTTCAACCAAACTTCATCAGTCTACAGCAATGATACTCCGTTATATGATCTCGAAGAAGATGGTCAAGTGAAAAATGTTACTCCTGAGGTACTGGAAGCACTAAAAATGTTTGGCCATACCAACTTTCGTAAAGGTCAAGATCGTGCAATTATGCGCATTTTAAGCGGGTTGTCTACCTTAGTCACCTTATCAACGGGCAGTGGCAAATCGCTATGCTATCAGTTGCCTGCATATATGTATTCGCGCCAAAAAAATTGTATAACATTAGTAATTTCACCATTAGTATCCCTAATGGAAGATCAGGTAACGGGTGTGCCTCATTTTTTAAGAGCCCACTGCCTACATACCAATCAAACACGACAACAAAGGATGAAGACGCTGGAATTGATTTCAAATGGAGAAGTTGATATATTGCTAGTTTCACCCGAAACGATAGTCGCAGGTGAACGATCGACAGGTTTCGGATCAATACTTCAGCAGTTACCGCCGATTGCATTTGCCTGCATTGATGAGGCTCACTGTGTGTCACAGTGGAGCCATAACTTCAGACCAAGTTATTTGATGATTTGTAAAGTCCTAAAGAACAATCTTGGAGTAAAGTGTGTTTTGGGTCTAACGGCTACAGCTACTCTGCCCACGCGGATTAGCATTATCACCAATTTAGGTATAACGGATGGTGAACAGGGCGTCATTAGCGATATACCCTTACCCGACAATCTTATACTCTCTGTATCAAAAGATGAAAATCGGGATCATGCCCTGTTGGAGCTGCTGTTAAGTAAGCGATTTGAAGCGTGTTATTCAATCATCATCTATTGTACACGACGTGACGAATGTGAACGCATCGCCGCATTTTTACGTACCTGCTTGCAAGAACGCATTGTTTATCAAGCAAGTGGCAAAAGAAAACGTGGAGTAATCAATTGGTATGCGGAACCATATCATGCGGGCATGGCGGCCTCGCGGCGGCGCACAATTCAGAATGCTTTTATGAACAATGAATTGCGCATTGTGGTTGCAACGATCGCTTTTGGTATGGGCATCAATAAATCAGATATAAGAGCGGTTATTCACTACAATATGCCAGCAACTTTTGAGAGCTATTGTCAAGAAATTGGTCGTGCTGGGCGCGATAATCAAACCGCACACTGCCATCTCTTCTTAGATTCCAAAGGTGGTGACAAAAATGAACTGAGGCGTCATATATTTGCCAATTCAATAGATCGTCATGTTATCAGGAAGCTGTTACAGCGTGTATTCGTGCCTTGTTCATGTGCGGGAAGGTATTTGAAATTGCTAAAATTTTATTGTTGATATATGAATTTATTACTATTGTCTTGCCAGTAAAACGTCAAATTCTAGCCAAGAAGAAGCTACTGAAAAGCATAATATTATGAAAAGTGTACAACGCAGTTGTCCAGGCCATGAGATCGGTTTCTCCATAGAGAAAACCGTTGAAGCGTTGGATATACCCCAAGAGAATATATCTACTCTTTTGTGTTATATGGAACTAGATAATCGTTGGCGAATAAATATACTAAGTAATGCTTTCATCACCGCCAAAGTTATTTCTTATGGTGGTGCGAAATATTTGAAGTGAGTTAATTGTTGCTTTTAAGCACAGAAACTAATAGCACTTTTTTAAGGTACGCGGCTAAAAAATGCCCTCCTTTGGCAATGGCAATTGCTTGGGAAATAAAAGATGGCAAATTTAAGGAGCATGGCAATATTATTGAATTTTCCATAATTGATATAGCTGCAGCAATCGGTTGGAATAGTGGCGTAGTAAAATATCAATTAAAAAACTTGGAATGGACTCAAGGTAGTGTATATGTGCTGGCCTCTCTTTTTGCACGAATTCTCATTACTCTCATTGAAGTTTCAAATATGAACTTTTTGTGCAATTACTGAAAACTCTGGACCTTGTAATTATAGATATATAACTCAATTTGTAGATTTAATAACTAACTGCGCAGACACAAACTTATGTTCCAATGTATTCTGTTCGAAATTTTTTTTAATGTACTTATGCGTCAAAAGAAGTTTTAGTCGCAAAAGCTCCTTTCAATTTTTGTTGTTTATCTACGATCGTTTGTTCTAGTCGACGGTTTGCCGAAAAGATCTCCAATAACAGTCACTTTCAATGATCTGGGCTTTCGATTAACGGCACCTGGAGATTTTACGACTGCGGAGATTGACGAGGCTTTGGACACCCTTTACAATAGAACCGTAAAGCAGGAAAAAACTCAACTTATGCAGGTTTTATATTGCGATTCGTTAATTGTTAAATGAATAAATTTTAAGATTTAAAAATAACTTTGTAGTTGCAATATGTCTGCCAAGGATTATCCTCAGTGGCTTATGACACTTTTAAATCATGTTCCATTGAACAATTTTCCGCTGATCGCTGTCATCAATTGAAAGCGATTATACGTAATTATTTTAAAAATGACTATCCCAAGGATTTAAAATTAGAAATTGAGGCAAGTTGTTCTTCAAATGCTGCGTGGGCACTTCAGTTTGATTTTTTTGTGTCAACCTTTTTTTTCAGGATTCCGACAGCATCACGGATGAGGATATAATGAACGATGTTAATGCTCTGTTGAGCATGTACCCTGAGAACAATTTCAGTGGGCGCAATATTGCTCGGATTTTTCATGGAATACCAAGTCCAAATTATCCGGCTGTTATGTGGTATCGATGCAAGTACTGGCGCGTCCATCCGAAAGCTAATTTTAATCGTATCGTTCAATTAGCGAATACTGTCATAGTACGCAGACGCACTTAAACAAGTGTCAAAAATATACTCATTACTTGTTTAGCAAACCGATGTAATATGCTGTTTATAAAAAAGAACAAACACTTTCTTAATTTTATTACATTCAAAGGGGTATATCATATAAGCGTATATGCATATGCACTTCAGATGTATTAACCATAGCAATCAGCAAGATGGAATTTTGCAATTTTTTGATATAATATATTATTATTCCATTGGCATCAAACCTTTACTTACTACAATGGCATAGTTTAATGTAAGCTTATAAAGTGCGATGAGTGCTGTCAGTAGTTAGCGGAAATGTTGCCGCATGAACCTGATTACAATAGAAGAACCAAACGTGCGTATATTCTTAAATTTTTCATCAGTCAATGGTTGAATTTTATCGTAGGAATTATAAAGGAGTGCAGATCGGAATGGTTTTGCTAAAGATAAAACAAGCTTATATCCTAAAGCTTTATCCCAAAATCAAATAAATCGTTGACGAGAACGTTAATAAGAGCCCCTGTTTTATATAAAGCATTTGCAGGTTTTCCTTAACTTACTTTTCTCTTTTCCTTGGTTTAATTGCTGTACCCATTCACATTTATCTACGTATGTATTTTTGTAACAAACAATTCACTAATATATTAAAAGTGATCTAGGAATCCATTAAACATTCAGGACAGTACTTTTTAACGTTTTTGTTGAGAGCGAAACTAAAACATTCACTTTCCAAGCAAAGTATAATCAGATACAATGTATTTATTAAGACAAAGAAAAAAATAAAAAAATACTTGAGAACACAAACCATTGCAATTGATATTCTGTAGTTAAAATACAAAGCAATTTTTGTTTAAAGAAGAAATAATCGAAAGGAGACAGAACCGTATAAACTACAACAGTATCAAAGCAACGTCTTGTGGTTTCATCGGAGGACATCTCCAATTGTATAGGTAATATTGTAAATTTCCATCACCTGGACCAAATTTTAAAGGCATTAGAAATTTCTTATTTTCCATTAGGTCCAAAGCATTATAAACATCCATTTGCAGCGTTTTCGCTGATATTAGAGCATCATTTATCAATTCTATCCAGGGAGTTTTAGTTGAAACATTGTAAAATGAATAAGCAGCACGCAGAGTTTTATGGATCGGGTGATGCATTACCGACGAGGGCAAACAATAAAAGCTTGTCAAATCAGTTATATTACCTTGGTCATCTTCAACGATGAAACAATCAATTATACCCTCTTTGGGCGTAAACCAATGACGAAATTCATCTGTTGAAAAAACCGGGCATAACGAGAAGCGTTTAAGGTGTTCATCTAGCAACTTGTGAGCTTTGTCCATATCTTTTGATTCGATGCGACGGTACCCTTTAGTTTTTGGCTGATCTGGTAACTTAAATAATTTAATCGTACGTTGCATCGTCATATTGCGAGCCAAATGTGAAAATTTAATCTAAAAGCATTTTATCGACAAAATTTTGTTTTGACTGTTTCTGTGAAAAACTTACATCAATTAATTTCTTTGGATTGAGAGAACGATGCCAATAACGACAAGTCGCCACCGGCTTTGGCAACACTATACCGGCCGTATAAGCTGCCTGGAAGATGCCAGTTAAGTTGACGCGTCTGGTTATTTCCCGGATAAGAACAGGCGATACACGCTTGCTACGTAATTTCTTATGCACACATAAAAAGTTGATTTCGACCACTTTCAGTACTTTATCGTATGCTCTTAGATTACTTGGTATAGCCGAAATAAAGCCCACTAGCCGACCTGATTTAACTACGCGCACTCCCAAATGCCAGTCCCGTTTCCAGCCGGGAGATTGCAAAGACCATTTCAGAAATTCCGGTTGGTAATCAAAGCGAAACATGGCGTCGTCATCCTCCACATAGTTTTCATTGAGCAGTGTATATAATTCAGTGAGATCGGTAGTGCTATTCAAATCTAAAGTATCCCATTTGAACCCGTCAGGTAAAGCGTATGGCTCAGCGCGTATTTCTGAAATATCTTTATCCGGTTCTATACATTCATTTGTTGTGATTTCTTCATTTAGTTTTGGTACGGGCTGAGTAGACCAAAATGCAAATTGTTTTGCAGGACGATTGCCAGACACGGCTTCAGAAACAGCTTGCAGCAAATCCTGCCTATGACACATATCTAATGGATAAATAAAACGTCAGCACACATTTCAGAATAATACACAAACTTTTTTTTTATCAATAGGATAATAGAAACATAACAAAACTTCTAAGAGATTATTACGTACTATGAATTATTAAGCGTGTACTTGAAAAATATTTTTCATACGCTAAGGTGATCAAATATTTGAAAGCTCACATCTTCCGGTTTTAAATGTTTTATTGAACTCTGGCTTAAGTAGGAAGTCTACATTGCGCCAAACCTTTGTAGCAAACCCTCCCCCCATTATTATTATTATTATTATTACTATACAGCACCCGGCCTAAATTGGAAAATCTAAATAAGAAATAACATACTAACCCCCTAGGTATACTTTTATATGCTTTTGTGATGATCATTAAAATCCGATGAGCTCGAGTCTCTCAGACCCTTGCAAAATGAGTTAGATATATAAATACTAAAAAAAGATCGGTCCATTTCTTATCTGTAAAGTTTTTTAAATTTCGACATATTACACAAATTGCTTAATTCTAAAAAAATTTGAAGTAAATTTAATGTCCCTATAACAACCGTTTGTTTATTGTACAGAGAGCCACGCCCTTTAGAAATCAATATAAGACAGAAAAAGACATGTATGTATATGAACTTACTCAAATCAACACCCAATTTAACGACGGCCGACGATTTTTCATTAGCGGTCACATGCGTATCGTTCTCAAGTTTGCTATTTGTTCCATCGCCTACACTATCATTTTGTGCTGCGTTAGTGCTAGACTGAACATCATTTAATAATTCAATGTTCGTCTGCGAATCTGTTGGCAGTTTTTTATCATCCAACAGTTTACCATTATTGCTATCCTTCGTTGTAGGCGATTCTTTGGGGGTTTTCTTGTCCTTGGGCATAGCTTGGCAAAATCTCTAATAATTTTTAACTATTAATTTCAAAAAAATTAAGAAAATTTACTTTCTGTGGTTATTTTACGCACACGATAGAAACCGGCCAACCAGTACTGCCATGAGTAAAAGTTTATGTCCATATTGCAAAGGGATTGAGTGATTTTGTTAACAATTAGAAAATTTGTATATATTTCTTCAAGAGAAGAAAAAAAACAAAAAAAATTATGGAAAACAACATTTACAAATTTTTAAAAAAGACACCTTTTTTAATTTTTGAAAAGTATTTCAAAACATTTGGGATTAGAAACTTTAGTTATAGGGTTTTTCGGTCAAATTACAAAAATGTGTAATCTTGCCAACACTACATGCCCTTTTTAATTACGGTATATGTAGAAATCATTAAAATTTGCAATATTTGGTTTATTGAGATTATTGAGCAAGAAGCTCTAAGTATAACATAAGTAACCAGTAATAAAAATTTGAAATAGACTTAACTATAGGAACTTTGCATGTATGGGCAAAAATGAAATGTTAAAAGAAACTTTTTCTACAAGTGCAAATATTCGGCATTGCCATTTATTTTGCTTTTCTTTTAACATCCATTAAGTGGTTTTGCAATAAATAAAAAAAATCAGATTAAGCGAATAGTTAACGATAAGAAATTTATTGACATTATAATTTTAACAGTTTGCTAAATTTTGCATTTATATATCAAAGTGAAGGAAAATATTTAAAACTCCAAAAGCAGTCTTTCGACTTAAGACCTTTGCACTTTGATATTAATTAAAGCTAGAGAAAAGAAAAGACGTTTAAAAATAAAGGAAAATTTTATAAAGAGTCAAGCATGTCTCTGTCTAAGCCACTGTATTCTTTACTCGGTGTTTATTTTGAACAGTTATTTAGTCATCCTATTCGCACCAAATCTGTCACTAAGTAATTAGAATTGTAATAATTCACTTGGAATCCTTTACTATATGCAATTTTAACATTCAGTTTTATTTTGGCTGCATCGGCTAATTATGCATCCCAACGCATTGATGGACAAAAAGTGATTAACCAACAAAGTGTAGTCGCTTATGCTTCATTTGGGTAACATTACTTTTTAAATTAAATTTTTCAATTAATATATGAAATTTTTTAATATTTTTAGTCTACTATTTGGTGGCAGTATTCCCCATTACTTCTACCAAGCAATAGAACGGCTGTTTCGCCACGATTTCAAATATAGAAAATTTTTTCAATTCATATCTGAACGTTTGGTTTATACCCCGATTTACCAAGCGTTGTGTTTATATATTCTATCATTATTTGAGGTTTGTTAGCCAAGGCTAAGTTCAAAAAGAACTTAATTACTCTACGTTTTATTATTGCAGTCAAATTCCCACGACATAGCTTTGAAAACTGCGGAAAAGCTTTATTGGCCTCTATTAAAGGCTAACTGGCAATATGTCACATTTTTTGTTTGGGTTAACTTGTATTACGTACCGCCCATGGTGAGTACGTCAAACCATTTAAAATAAGCAATTGTAATATGAATTGTTCCGGTCAAGTTGCAATTTTTGTATCTATTATCGCGATATCGCTCTTTGAAACTTACCATGTATGCTTTAATAATTAAAAACAGCCTATTTAAGCAGCATTGCGAAAATACTTCAAAGTTGAGCTCGAATGCTTTATTTTACTTACCCAAGTCGATTTGATTATATAATTCTGGTTTATATACGTTTACATTTTATATTGAAAAAATATATTTTTTAATAATTTTTTTTTTGTATTATATTATAATTTCAGTTGCGGGAATTTTTCACAAGCATTGTAGCATTTATATGGATGACCTACATAGCTCGTAAGCGTCGTCGTTTCCAAGAAAAGCAGGCGCTGAATTCTGACTCCAAGCCTAATTGATTGTTTTTAAAACACAAACCAAATTTATTGCTTTTACTTTGAATTTTTGATTTGGGAATGGCTACATCGGGGTTTTTTTTAGGTTCACATTAAAAAAGTTTATTGAAGATCTTTAAAAATCTTTATTAAAGTATACAATTTGTAATAAATAACATTAGAAATTGTTTTATTTAGAAAGATCTGGGGCAGTGTTCTAAGCTTGATAGCTTCGTGGAAGATAACTATGTTATAGTTGTGCCAGTGTCGTATTGCATTATTATTACAACTATGAAAAATTTTTGACGAAGTGGAAGCCATACAAGATTTCTTGTTATAATTCATGCGTTCCTTAGTTTCCGACTTTGATTCATTTTACTTAGGGAAAAAACGTATTTAATACACTGTAATAAATGAAAAAGTTTAGGAAACAAGGTTTTGACGTAAAGTATAAATTTTCATAAGTATAAATTTTTTCTTAGCATTAACAAAACGCGTTAAGAACTTTTGCACTGCATATAGTAAAGGAGTCCTAGTGAATTATTACAATTCTAATTACTTAGTTATAGATTTGGGTGGAGGGGAAATATAGAGGTAATTATTATTATTATTATTATTATAATTTTAGACTAATGAAATAAGATCTTAGACTAAAAAAAAGACATTGAACACTAGCAACAGGCTATCGACTCTAATTTAAATAAATGGATATTAGATAATGCGCTTAGTAGTACTAAAAAAGTAATATATTGAATTGATATTCTGTTCTGCAGCTGACTGTAGAATGTCCAAAGGGTTAATCGTTCCAAATGCAATACTTCTAGCCAAGGAAAAATTAAGGCAGTAGCAGAGAATGTGCTTTATGGTGAGAGTTTGTCCACGACTGCAGATTGGGGAGGAAGACTTCTTTAAGATCCATTGGTGAGTTGCAATTGTATGATCAAGGCGAATTCTCGAAAATGTTTGGATCTTAATTTTCTCAACATTAGTTGGATATAAAGGTGGAGTTAATTGAGAGTTAATGGAAGAATAGTGTTGATGATGGTATTGTAAATTTCAGTCTGCAATTTTCTCTTTAACTTTTCTTCCAATGTATCTTTGAAGATCCAACTTTTCCATGACATCATCCATAATTCGAGGAGCAGAAGTAGCATCCTTTGCCGCTCGATCAGCCTACTCATTTCCCAATAAACCGATGTGACTTGGCAACCATAACATTTTAATTTTTCCGTCGGGTGCTGTAATTATATTCCTTAATTTGTTGATGGTGCTCTATCTCGAAGTCGAAGGGTTCCGAATAGCATGTAATACAGGCAAACTGTCGGTAACAATGACGGTTTTGAGTTTGCTTTTATGGGCAAGGTTCGCAGTGTGAAGAATAGCTCTGGCTTCGGTTTGAACGTTGAAGTACTTTCGTGAAATATGTGATTGAGAAGAATCTGTCCTGTAGCATCTGCCACGGCACAAGCAGGAGGCAGGCCAAAAGATTTTGAGCCGTCTGTGTATAAAAGATTCCAACCAGTACTCTCCAATACTTAGGCTTTTTCAGCTATTAGATTCCTGAAGACGTAATTTGGAGTATCTTCTTTTTTGTGCACAGACAGCGAGATGTCAAAAGAGCAGTCTTTCAAAATTCATGGAGGTTTAACACCAAATGAGCGGAACATTTTTAAGGGAATATTCAATTCCTTTGCGACGTACAAACAATAGTCAGTTGCAGATGGTGACTTTGGAATTTTCTTCGCAATAATAATCTTTCTCACGTCATCACCGAGAATAGATTTGTTTGAATTAAGAAGCTTGGGGACTATTTTAGCTTTTAACTCATAAAGTCTATATTCTTAAGTTGGGAGACCAGTTTCAATTATAATATTAATTATGGGCGTCGTCCGAAACGCATAACAACTTGCTCTGACGGCTTGGTGATAGGCCGGGTTAAGAATGTTGGTATTATATTTGCAGCTATTGCCATAAATTATCAAAGCAAAGTCAATCTTGCTTAACACAAGCATTTTGGTAAGATAAGCAATAGTGTTAATATGCGCATGGCTTCTCCAAGCAACGTACTGTATGACATTCACCCTTGTTAAAATAGAATTTTTTAACCGAAGACAGTGTGCTTTCCAATGATATTTGTTGAAAAAAGTGAGCCCGAGAATATGCAGCGTCTGCACGTTTAGTACTGGTAAGCCATTAATATGCATCAGTGAATTTCCTGCATCGCATATCGACAAATGTGCATTTTTTTAGATTTTTGTACGGAAATTTTAGCCCCTGAGGAGTTTACCCCAGCGGAGATCTCTCGTCCAATAGATTCAAGGATGTTGATTGCTTTCGTGCTACCGTTTTCTTTTGTAAAAATGTATACATCGTCCCCGTAGAGACAATGCTCCACTCTGGGTATACGGCAAAGAAGTTTACTAATTTCGTTAGAGGCGATCTGGAAAAGCGTGACAGAAAGAGGAGATCCTTGCGGAATGCCATTCATTAGCGGAAAGGAATCAGAGACATGATTGTTGATTCTAATTTTAAACCGCCGATGCGACATGAATGATTTGATGTAGTTGAAAAATTTGTGTCCAACATTCCATGATTTCAAGAGTCTTAAAATAACATGAAGACAAACTCTGTCAAATGCTTTTTCGAAATCAATTGAGAGAATTGTTACGTGATTTCGTTCGAAAATTGCTTTGCTTGTAAAGTAATCAATGTGTAATAGAGCGTCGATGCACCCTCTACCCCGCTTGAAACCAACTTGTTGCTTTATTGTCAGGTTCTTGGTCTCAAGAAACCAAGATAATTTAGATGTCATAATCTTTTCCAACACCGTTGAGAGGCAAGATAAAAGAGAGATTGGGCGATAATCCGATTCGATGGAGACATGTTTAGACTTTGGAATTGTAGCAACTGCTGCCAGTTTCCACATGGCCAGTCAAAAATACCGTATTATATAGGTCCAGTAATTTCTTTTTACTTGAATTAGACAGCGCACTGATCACTTGGTAGGAGATACGGTCTAGACCAGGTGTCCTCCCCTTCGACTTGGACAGACAACTTCTACGTTCTAAGGCGGATATGCAATTTTCCAAGAAGGTGGCACATCTGTCAATACAATTTGAAAGAGTAATTGGAGTCCTTTTATTTTCGATGAAAGCATTGGAAAAATTGCTGTCAGAGGAGTACTCGCAGGTTTGAAATCCCATTGAGTCTGTTGATTTTGCTCCGACAACTTTAATTAATGTAAAAATTTTTACTTTTTATGTTTAAGATTATTTGTATCGCTACGGCTTGTATGTTTGAGCTAAAATTTATGCGTGTATTTAATTTTATAAAAACATTAATTCCTTGTTTGGAATATGAATTTTGATCAGCATTCGTGAAATATCCAGTATATGATTTGGGTGGAATAGGATTAAAAGAGATTCTACAATGGGTTTCTTGAAGCGATAAAAAGGTTGGATTAAAATCACTAATGAGTGTACGGAGTTCATCAAAATTATTAATAAGTCCCTTAATGTTCCATTGTAGAATTTTAAAAACTTTATTTAATTGTAATGACATGGAAGCAGAGTGGAATTAAGGTCAAGTTGACATGTCAGTGTCTCCGTCGAGAAGGTCGCTTTAGGAATTTTTCGTTAATGATTTATTCTTACCAGCTGAATAATCTGCACTTAGGTGGTTTAGTACATTTGAAGCGCAACGAGCGGGCGCACGTGAATAATTTGAAGTTGAAATTTGATTAATGGATGAAAGAATGGATTCATTACCACTTGTAATTTGTTTAGTAAAGTTGAGAGCTGGAGATTCTGGAGAATTTAGTATATTAGATTTTAGCATATATGTTGTTGTTTTATTTTTTCAATATTTGGTGTTGCTTCGGAATATAATTCGTTTCGCAATATAATTTTTGGTTAATGGTGGAACACGTTTTTCATTAGAAGGAGTTTAAGTTAAAGGCTTATTATGCACGATTTGCGAGGCAACAGCAGCGTAGGTATTACTTTTTCAAATTCCTTGGGCTACAGATGGATTTCTCTTGCGGTGTTTGCGTCGAGCTTCACTCATTCTACAGTAATTTTCGGTTTTGATTTTTAGAATTTCACGCATTTGTATAAAACGTGGGCATTGTTTGTCTAACTACACCTCATGGGATTTGGAATGTAGAGTTCTACTTTACATTTGTACCAAGCTACATCAACCGTTGCCGGTAGCCTATAGCGGTCAAAAGTCAAAATAATTCTTCCTGTAAGAGAGCGGGTTTTTTCATCGTCATTTAATTTGGTGAATTTGTAGTCTTCAGTCACTCCTTGACTGTCCTTGACTGAGCGCGGATATAGCGCTCAAATTGGCTAATGATTTAGACTTTATGAGCTTTCCGGTTGCGCTCGGGTTCCCAGCCAGGACAAGTAAATTTCCGTCGTGTAAAATCGATATAGAGTCTATATGCGTTGTAATACAATCTAGTGCTTTTTTAATAGCGAAAGGGCTGAATTGCGAAATTGTTATGGAGAGATCAGTTGGAAAAATCACAGAATATTTTTTGTCGATAGGAACGATGCTACTGGTTGGCAGCGCCGGAAATTCGGAATTTTTAATTTTTTTCTTTGAGGGGATACGTCTGCTAATAGATGAAATCTAGTTGAGTTTATATCAGGCGGCCCCGGGGCCATTATGCCTTATGGTTGTCTCCTATTTAATAGATTGGGAAACAACCACTCACTTGAAAAGGTTTCGGAAACTACTGAGGATAATGTCAAATGTTTTCAACTTTTTTTTTTTTTTGGATTTAATGGAAACATGTACGGTATCCGCGATGATCAGTTTTAGCAATAAACACACAAAAAGTTCAATATATTTTAATAAATTTGAACACTTTTAAAAACGTATAAAGCAATAAAGAAGAAATCGCAAAATTTGTTTGCACAAAGAGAAAAATATGACCACAGCGTTTGTACAGAGTTGCCGTTGTACGAGGTAATTATATATATTCATAGGTAAATGTTTTTCATCGTAAGAAGTTGAGTACGTTTAGTCATCTAAGTTTGAGAACTGAATAAGGTTGCACATTTATTTAATTATTTATTTATTCCACTTATAGAAGAAACTCAACCAAA